AAAAATAGCAGCACAACTCCTCAGGTAAAAGCACTTTGATAAAGATAGGATGACAGTTTTACATCCCTGAATGTAGTAACCCAATTAGTTCGTATTAAGCCACATTCACAAGAAGATAGAAATATCGACACGTTATCAACAAAAAAGAAGTATACAAGCAAATAATTATTCAATTCAATTCAAGATCATCTACATATTTCAGCAGTAATAAGAAGCAAGAATGATACTTTCAGTAGAACAAGCCAGAAAAGTCAGTTGGAACATAAAATCCACACCCCTAAAAGACAATCAAGACACAACTACACGTGGTTTCTTTCTCATTTTCACCATCTGCCTTTTCCATTGTAGTTTTACCATCTACCTACCCTGAGTACCATTTACTAGTGACATTGCCACCATGCCAAAGCTATTGCTCCAACAATTAGCCATTTATAAAGGTCCGTGGTGTTAAATGGATAAGGAATCAATAATAAAAAAAAACCACCCATCTTAAACCTTGAAATAATCAGAATGCACGTTGGAAAAGCAAAGTTTACTATTTGTGATTGCATTAATAAACTCTGCAGTAAAAGCCAAACTAGTGAACAGAAACTCACTGCATTCATTCTTAGAAAACCCCGGTAAGATCCTCAATCAGTCACTCATATCAAGTTGCAAACAATAAGATAGAATAGAATCCTAATTATGCTGTAAAAAAGTTTCCAGAAGCAAAACATACTCACAATTACAAATGGTGGTTTTGGGCTGCTGGCATCTGCCACAAAGAAGCTCGATTTCTCCCACCATGCGTACCATCTAAATCAACAAGAAGTTGGTCTGAGAATAGATCTAAGACACAACAATAAGTCAAATCTAGAGTTAACAACAAAGAAATTAAATTATTACGATTTCTCAACGGCACTTGGGTTATACTGCTTCGCCATTTGGCTGGACAGCCGTTTCTTCTCACCAAGAGGAGACTCTGGGTCAACATAATCCTCCGGATTCTCTTCACCCGCATCTCGCTTTATGTTCTTCTTTGCAGTCTTTTTAGGGGCATTGGCACCTTGTTGAGCCTTCAAAGAATAACACGACAAAATATATCAACCCCAGTTTACAAAGTGCAAATGGAATTAACAAGACCCCATATGAGATAACAACCAAACGATCAACCCCCAATACTGAAAACTTGCTACCAGAGCGAGAACGATCATACACGCGAGCAACTACGAATGATCGATATTACGATAAGCAAGAACTCTGTTAGACAATAATAGATACCTTAAGTTTAGCCAGTTCTGCTTTTTCAGCAGCCTTGAGTTTCTTCAATTCCTTCTCTCTTGCCTTCAAAGATAAATCAAAATGCAACATGTTAAATCTCTTCTAATGTCACTTAAGCAAATGAACAGCCTTCTCAATTGGGCAAAGCTGGAAGGGCCAAATGGATAAGGACATTCGGACGAACAAGGTCCATTGCTGCTCGATTTCTGCCGCTCATTTCCGATCAACAAGCTTCATGCACCATACAAAATGGTGGGATAAGCAACAAAAGAGCGAAGCGAGATGCAATTCGCAACTCATGCCGCGAGCGAAACAAGATCGAACTCTTTCGGTTTCTTTTTCCCGCGCTCAATCCCTATCCGAACGAAGCCCGATGCACAAAGCAAAAGGGGGGGAAGAAAAAAAGGAACAATCGAGGAGCTGAATTATTAGCAAGAGGCGGAAAGAGAGGAGACCTTCTCTTCCTTCTTCTTCTTTCGCTCCAGGTCTTCCGCGGTTTCCGGCTTCCCATCCGGCTGAGACTGCACCATCAAACGCATTTTCGTCGACAAAACAGACAAACCCATCGCCCATCAGATCAAGATACAGAATCACTACAAACACACGACGATACCGAAAGCCAAAGCGGATTCGACCAGTCCAAGAACCGTCGCAATGAGCGACGACAGAACCGAACGTACCATGTCGAAGGGCTCCGTGGAACGAAGGGGTAGAGAAGATGGAAGCACCAGGAAAGGAGAAGAGATTCCTCCAGCGGGGAGACCGACGCCAACGCCAATAGTCAGTGCAAAAAGCGTGAAAATGGAGGTGGTGATGGTGGTGGTCTCAGGATTCTTGATTCTGCTTGCCCCGGCGAGAGCATGCTAAAACCCTCGACGACTTTTAGACTGAATGTCGGACGGCCTTCTTGCTGTTCAATTTGATCGATGGGCTTTCTTTGGGCCGGACTCGATGAAGAGCCCAGTAACGAGGAAAAGGGCGGGTCATGGGCCACTCTTACCGCAAACAAAAATAACAATCTTATGTTTTCGAGCGATTATTCACCCCCGAGCTTCTCTCTCTCTATTGAGTTATTATTATATTAGAGATGAGATTACGTATGCATGTCGTGAGCCTTGAGTTTTTACTGACCTCGCTATCGAAGGGGGACGGAAAAATAGGTGAAGGAACGAGGAGATTCATAAGTTTCGTGCGGAGATCCGACGGGTCTTCGGCTCGTCGATAATGGGGTCTCGAGCTTATTGGCCTCCGCACCCACAAAGGAAGGAAGCCTAGGTGCCACCCGTTCCCCGGATGCCTAAGTTAAATCAGTGTCTATGTGAAAAGGACAGCTTCGAGTTAAAAGAGGGAGAAGTCAAATACCCTGTGGCTATGTTTGGTAGTCATAAAAAATTTCTGGACATGATAAAATTTATCATATTTCGTGTTTGGTTCCTGTCTAAGACAAAATAAGGTCGAATATAAGAGGGATATGATCCAGATAAATATATTGCATAAGGAAAGTGGGATAAAAGTGGATAAGATTTACAATATCAATGATACAAGCATGTTACGGAGGAAGACCATGAGTTTGTGTGTGGCTTTGTTAATGGACACACCCATTAAGGCCTCGCGGCTTTATGGGCTATTCCATAATGGACCCTGATCATTCATGCTCGTATCGGTTTACGAAATGTAAGAAAGTGTGGTTTTCCTACATGCCTGATTCAGGAAAAACTCCTCCCCCCCTCCATGTGATTGGTGAATTCGCGTAAAAGGATGCACATCTGGTCTGGGTGATTGGTACCCATGCACGTAAAGTCCCTAACAAAAACAAACTAATCTCTTTCAGATTACAAAGCCACCACACCTCTATCAGTGCTGTGCGACCCCACAACCCGCCCCTCCCTCCCTCCCTCGTTATCTGCTGAACAAACCACCACATAGCACCACCACCTTAATTGCCAAGCCGCCGCCGCCACACTCGAGCTCCGCTGATGGTGGCATCAACCTCCTCACGGTCGTGAGGGTGCGGGCTTTACTGCTGGTGGCGCGGAGAAGAGCAGGCGCAGGCATCGCGCGAAGGAGCGACGGTGGGCTACTGAGGCTGCTAATGGCAGCGGAGAAAAGAGGGAAATGAGAGGGAGAGAGGGGCGGGGATCTAATGGTTGTATTGTTCAAATGAGCCGGACGCTGGACCCCATCCTCAAACAACAATAATGATACCTAATACCTTTGATCGCATAAATCCGTGCCACGTAAGTCCACGTTATGCTCTTTTCAACTTTATATTCCCAAAGCACTATTGAGATCCGTTTGCTAAAGCAGGTGAAACTCGAGCCTTACATCTCCTAATAAATTAGCTAAGCTTGGAGATCATGATTGGGTTTAGGTATGGTGTTGCTGTCTCGCTTTACGTATTATATATAGCCTCGTGGGTTCATCTCAGGCACTTAGAGATACAATGGCATTGGACAAACATCAAACCGCCCATGCATGCAACTTAATCATTAGCTCATATGCACGCACTGAAATGCCCAGTGGGACCCTTTTATCACCTAATCTCGAGATTGAGCTTACTAATTTGAGTGTTGGAGCGGCAAAAACAATGAGAAGACGAGCAAGGCTGGGTGTACTATGGCTAAGAAATCTCACTAAAACTCTCTCACTTAGTGACAAACATGGCAATTTTATATTAAATGCTAAGAAAGCAAGTTAATCATTCAAATTAATGTGCGTGCACTTATTTCAACGTTGAATTGAAATTTGTCATGTCATTTGATAAATAAGGGAAAATGACTTTCACTTTCCAAAAAATTGGAAATCATTTTCCCCACTTTCTGAAATAAAGTCCTAGCTCCATTTCTCTAGCTGCACGTCTCCTCCTTCCTCCTCTTTGCCTCTTCGCTCATCTCTCTCCTCCTTCTTGTCGCCTCATGCTTCTCTTCAGCGATCTCCTCAGCCTGAGAGATGTCCACGTGGACGAGGCAAAGCCCCAGCTCAGCAGCGAGGGCGAAGTTGAGGCAGAGGATGAGCTGATAGGGGCGGAGGCGGCGCGGGGGAGTAAGGCGAGGGAGTGGAGGAGGACGGCGGAGGCAGAGCTGATGGTGCGGTCATAGGAGGCGAGGCGACTGAGGACATGCTCAATGCAGGCGACACCGGCGAGGGAGGATTGCTCGAGGGAGCAATCTTCGATGCAGTTGAGGGGTGACGACGAGGGGGAGGCCTAGTGAGGCACCACCGCGAGGGAAGTTCTGGCCATCATCGCGGTGGTGGTGGTTGATAGGGGCAAGTGAAATTAGGGTTTAGTGCTTGAGGATTTGGGGCAATTTTCAAGTCAATGAAGATGGTGGTCATGGTTGTTTGGATCTTGTTCGACGCAAAAGCGTTCGAGTGTAGAGAGTATGGGTATGGAGCTACATTCGACGCAAAAGTGTTCACAGAAAAATAAAAAATCAATCCTTCAATCATATATGTACACTTCTATATATGGGGATGAGCTCTCAACCAGATAATAAATTTTTTTTTTTAGAAAAAAATATTTTCTTTTTCATTTTCAGGTCTTAACTAAATACCGAAAATATAATCATTTTCTTGGAAAATAATTTCCTGAAAAATAATTTTTTTCTCGAAACAAACGAAACCTAAGTTTTCATAAGACTTCTAGCATCTTTAGCATTCTCTAGAGATCGGAGATGTTTTCAGCTCCTTTCACCTCATAGTCGATCACAGGCCGTCAACAACAAACACAGGCAAAATAAGATAGGGAAATGTAGCCATTCTGAAACTTTATATAAAACATTAACACATGATCATGGAGAAGTTTTAACACCCGTGAAAACGTCTCTCTATTGCTATACATTCTGATGAACAGTCAAGCTCCGTGATGTCAGGTACAAATCCGAGGGGACGAGAGAGATTGCATGCATGAGAACCACGACTTTATAGCTAGCTAGTGAGTAAGTTCGAAGATCTGCTAACGAATGTATGAGAAAAGTATAGGCAGCATCAGAAATAAATCATGTCATGACCACAAAGAGTCCTCAACGTCGGTTTGATCAACCTCGTTCAGGGGAAAGTATGACCGCCTGGAATGCGAGTCGCACCCCCGCGAGTTGTCGTTGCCGGCGGCGTCGATGGCTGAGCTCGAGGTCGAAGGGAACTGATGCGTTTGCAGGCGCATGTGGACGACTTCGGCCTGCGCGAGCGCGAGCTGGTTCTGAAGCACGTCGACTTGCTGCTGAAGCGACGATATGGCCCCAACGCAGCCATACACAGGGTCTCGCACCCTCGCGTTCGCTTCGTACACCATCGAGCTCACCGCATCGCTCCTCTGGGGCTCTGGTAATTCCTGAGAATATAAATCTAACATCAACAGTGTTGGAAATATTCAAGATCAACAAATCCGAAATGCTCCAAAACCTATCCAAATTTTCTAAACACATGAGTACAAGTAATTAAGAAATAGCCGATAATTAAACACATGGTTAACCTGTCGAATTGAGAAATGCTCCTCCATTATTAAACCGAAAACTTAGGTCGTCATTGTCGTGTCACGATTACGGCATACTGACTTTTTTTTGGCTTAGATTCCCTCACGGTCAAATTGCTCTTTATGCTCCAACAAGGGTAAAATTTCGTGTGGCTTCCCGTCCATATCTCCGCAAAATCATCATCTACTTCAAAAGCAAAATGACAAGAGCGGCTCTCCACACCGCTTTTACATTCTAAAGATGGAAAATAAGCAGACATGACCCAAAGAAAAAGGCTAGAGCCACACCTCACGGTCACAAAAAAGCAGGCATCCCCTCTACTTTTCCTCTTTCAAATCCTTGATGGTCACGCCTAATTCCTTCCTTTCTTAAAATTACCATAAGCGACGATGGTCACACAAGTGAGGCTTAAGCACTAACGAGTATAAAGTTAATTTGGCAATTCTATCCATTCCTTTTTTTCCCCTTTTCTTGCAGAGATCTACTTTTTTTTCCTTCCTTTTCATTTTTCTGCACTCTTGCCCGTCTTATGCGAGTCATGATGTTTAAGGGTTACTTTATCATCTTTTGTCCAAAAATCTATCTACGAATTCGAGCTTCTTCGGCATAAAGAAGATGATAACAGTAAAGAACCTTTAGTGCATGTGGCACTTCTATACATGAGGATATGAAGATGTTTTAAAACAATTAAAGCCTAGGCATCCCATATGCTAAATGGGATTGGTCAAAAAGTCGCCTTTTGAATAAAAAAGCCGAGAAACCTCGTTAATGGTGGGGTCTCTTTAGCTTTAGCTTTTGCCCAACAGAAACTAACCACAATAACTGACATAAGAGATGGACATGGTGATTGATTACTAATCGATTTTCTTACTTCCGTAACGACTGATTAAGTGGCTCTTTGCCCGAATTGAATGAACGAAAATGAACCAGAACCACTTACAAAGAGGGGAGTGCATGCATGCAGCGAAGAGGGAAATCAACGAAAGAACCCATATCAAAATTTCTCTTGAGCTGTAATTACTTTCATTTCTAGATAAGTATGCGTTGAAGTCATGCTGCAAGTCACCCGCAGATGGACAGGATTTTGATAACAGTTTCATAGATATTCATGTAATTTTTCCTCCACATAACGTAAGATAGCTTCCGACCAAAAAAAAAAAAAACGTAAGATAGCTTAATTTTTTGGATTGGGGTTTCGATATAGTTATAACCTATCTTTCTCACTTATCATAAAAGCGTGGAAGGACATTAGAGCAGAGGGTGATGCATGCAAAAGTCAAAGAAGAGGGGAATATGATTAGCTAAACCTGTAACATCTTGTTGACATTGCTGGCACCGAAGACCCTGTGAACAATAGCGAATTTCTGGGGCTGATCAGCTGGGAAATAAGGAGCGAACACGCAGTCGTGAGCGCATCTCCTCCTGAGCAGCTTGCACGCCGCGCATGGTGACAGCGCTCCTTGTTTTCTTCCACTCTCTTTCATGGTTCTCTTTCTCTCTCTCTTTTTCTTATTCTTTAGGACATTAAGCCAATTAATTAATATTTACAGTAGCAACCAAACTATGGTACTAATGTGAGCTTAAAGATGTATGAACTGAGACAGGAGGAGCAGATGAAGAAGAAGAAGAAGAAGAAAGTAGCAGAAGAGGGGGAACTGAAGGTTTTGCTGATGGTTTCTTTTATAGGGCCAAAAAAAAAATTTGAAGTGTGACAGCATATCTTCGGAGGGTCCCACTAAAGAAAAAACCCTAGATTTTGCTGGGCCACCAAACATCATTTTTCATTAAGATTATATGGACCCAACTCAATGTATCGTATTTTTGATCCCTTGTCCTTTTTCGTTTTTTTCTCTTTGGAGAAAGAGATAAAGTTGAAAGAGACTTTAGTATAATAGGTTATTATAGTGAGTATTTGTCCACATCAACCTTAAAGTTTTACCTGTTCTACGAGAGAAACGAGAAACTCAGTTATACTTGACATCTTGCTACATTTTGAGTGGGCACAATGCTATTATTTCGTGCCCAAGGATACGGATTTTGTTCTTTTCTGCAGGTAGATTTAAATAAATGTTGGTGACTTTCGACTTTTGATAAAGAAAATGACCAATTATTTCTTTTTTTATAACTAGCTAGTAGCTTACCAATACTTTCACGAAATTAGTTCCTTTTTTATAGTTTGCAAATTAGCAAATACTATTGACCGAAAAAAAAAATTAGCAAATACTAACTTATCCAAAAAAAAATGGGGTTAAGGCAACAATTTTTTTTTGTTGAGAATAGTTTGTCATGTTAGGGTACTCTTCTTATAGTGATTACTTACCAAAACTTTGAATTTACTCAGTCCCCAACCTAAAGTAAAGCGACTTACCAACTTTTGTCAGATTAGATTATCAACTAATATTAGGTTATCAACTCTCATTTGATTTACGTATTAATGTTTCTATTGTTATGTTTAATTTACAAACTTTTCTATTAAGTTGCCAATTTCTGTATACCTTGGGAGCAACACATATGTTTACAAACTCTTTGTAGAGATTACCAATTGAAATTAAGGTGACTCACCAACTTTTCTCACAATATTAAATTAAACTCTCATTTGAGTTACTTACTGATATTTATTTGATTTTTTTATTTGCCAACTATTCTTATTGCTTGCAAATTTTTTATTTGCATTTCTTATCATATGACTTAAACTTACCAAATTTTTTTAAAAACTATTTACTGGTTTTAATTAGAGTGACTTCCAAACTTTTTCTCTTGTTAAGTTACTAGCTACTTTGAGATTACCAACACTAATTTGAGTTATTCACCAGTATTTTTTTATTTACTTACCAACTTTTCTTATATTTTACTAAATTTTATTTATCTCTTTTAATTACACCTTAAATTTTCTGGGTCTTATATGAAATTACTTATTAACATTTAATTTAAGTGATTTATCAACTTTTTCCGATCATATTATTAATTAGTTATGGATTGCCAACTCTCATATGAGTTAGTTACCGACATTTATTTGATTTTTACGTATCTAACAACATTTTATTGGATTTCATAATTGGGAATAAAGCTGTTTCGTCGTCAAAAAAAGGTTGGCAATTTCATGTATTAGATAGTAAATTTCATAGATTGGTAAGAAAGTCAAAGAAATGGAAGGAATAAGATATATTTTTTTGTCAGAGACAAGAAAAGTTAATAATTTGGAAAAATCAAATAAACATTGATAATTAATTCAAGAGTTAGTAACGTAAATGAGTAAGTAATGATTTTTCGTAGAAAATGATTGCCGAGACAAGATTTGCACGACAAGACTTTCGAATCAAAACCCAAATTTAATATGCAGTACATGAACCAAGACTTTAATTGGTGGGACTGGACAGTATTTCTAAAAGCTATCTGATGCAACTCATTGCTGATCTCATCGATAAAGAGTTGATTTGATATTAGCGGGCACGTAACATCATTATAGATCATTTTTTCCTTGACTTTAATTCCCAGGACATTACAATATTCATCATCTAGAGCGCATTATCGACAATATGTTTCCGAAGCTTTCGGTAGGATATCAATAATAACAATTTTTCCATTGTTTTCAATGGTCAAAGAAGTGTTGGTTCGTGCAACATAAGATTCCATGGGATATAGTATTCGAATAATTTAATATGTTGGTAGGTCACCTAGTAAATCCGTCGAATCACGAGTAACCAATCAAGTGCAATGCCCGTCGAAGCCCTCACGAATGGGGAGGTTATCAAAACCAATACGTACAAGGTTCCATCTTGTCTTTATCGTTAATATCATGGTCAAGTACATGATTGGTTTCTTACGCTTCGTACCTCTTATATTTTGTTGGGGGTCAAGAGAATAAGGAGACATGTCCAGGTACTTCACAGAAGAACTTTGATCTGAAAGCCTGCGCATGAAGAATTGGGTGGAAAGTAAACATGCTAGGCAGACATGTCTAGTTTGTCTAGGTGGTTTGAATATCACCTGAGATGACTAACCGAGTGATTTATAACTAAAGACTCGTCCTAAACAATCACTACTTGAATATTTCTTTTCTGGGGGCTTGACCCCCGACATCAAGTCAGCTGCTACAAATGGTAATAAAGCTGGATTTCCAGCAATTGATGTGGGGGTTCAATGATGGACCAAGTCCGTTCCAATTCAATAAGGGCAGGTAACGATAGAAAGGTCAATAGAGCTCGGACAAGTTGCGGGGTCTATGTTGTCGTGAATGATGCTCATAATTATCCGAATTGCACGTTTTGCAAGAGGAGTTCTGTTGGGTTTTCGCTAGTCAAACACTAATGAGGATGTCTATGCTTTAAGTGAATGAAGTTCGACACGCTCCTAGTCAGCTCATATCAAATGAGTTGAGTCTTGGGATTTGACTTATGTATTGGCAAAAATCCACCCTAAATGGGTACCACCTAGATGCTCCTTTTAAGGGGTTCACTTATGTGAATTAGGTCAAGCTGTTGCAGACGCTCTTTGCTCAGGCTAGACTTCCTTGGTTTTGGGTTAACGTGACGGGGTCAGCCACAAGCTTTCATCACGGGGGACTTATGCGGGTCCTTGAAAATCAATAAGTGTCTTAGAAAAAGCCTATTGTGATTGCATATGGTTCATAAATCATGATCCATGTAAGTTTTCAATTTACTCAAATTCACTTATTTCTGCTTAGGCCCAGAAAGCCCGCCAGTACCCTAATTGACTTTAACTATTACAAACTAGCAAAGGTGTACACGCAGTAAGTGCGTGTGAAAAATTGATATTTGCAGAATTAGACGCATCATTTTATAATGAAATGCATAAAAAATTAATGTGGACAAAAATTACTAGTAAAACAACACTATCCAAAGATATTGTATATATGAAAAGACAAGAAAATGTTAAGATTTGAGTTTTCTTAGGAATGTTGTTATAAAAAAAAAAGATTCAAACTTTAATACTGAAGCATGCAAGAGATTGATAGATTATTAACTTATACATTTGTCCATGAGTGCAATACTTATCAAATAAGTATTTGAGGATATTAGAGGAAGAAAGAAAGATATTTACGATCCCTAAAAAGTAGGAGGTCCTCATTAGTTTATATATTAGTATAGAAAACTAATCAATTTCTTTCAGAGTGCGACAAAAAACTGGACTTCTTTCAAAGCGTTTGGTGCAAGTTTGGTTAGGTATGTATGATTTTCTTAATTATAAAAACTTGGTGATGAAGTTCTTAAATCTGGGAGGGCCACAAAACTAGCTAGTCGATTAGTCGTAGGGAAATGAAGAATGCCGTACGTTTGCAACTTGCACGTGTGGATAGACTTATCTGGAGCAACTCTTCTCTTAATTCATCAACTATGAACACCATGCAATGGGACCTCCGAACTATGATTCCGAAATGACTTCTGAACTGCAATAATTGGCGTGATAAGATGTAGATAAGAAGATTTCATTACGCATTCAAATAATTGGTGGATCCACCTTTGACGTAGATAATATGTAGTATGTGTGAACAAGAGATTAGGGAAGAAAGAGTAAATAAAGAAATGAGTGGTAGAAGATTTATGCCATATTTAACAATGGAGACCACTTCTTTTGGATTGATAAACGCATGGATGGCTACGATAACGTTTGTTAGAAAGCAACAAAAGCAAAAGCATTGGATATGATAGATTAGAATGGTACCCATATATTATCATTTCGCAAAATGTCGTCACACAAAAAAGTTTCGATGAAAAGAAGCTGACTCTTGAGCCTTCGAGGTCATCGCTCGATTTAACTTACAGGGAATATAGTACAAATATACCTCGCCTTTTACTCAATGACATCTGCATCAGTTGAAGTTTATGCAATTAGGTGAATTGCGATTCTTCTCAATATATATGTATTGCCTACGATACCATTTCACTTTCTCAATCCGTTTTTGAGGGATTAACTACCTTTGAAAGTATCTCTTCGATCAAGTATTGGAAGCTGACTCCTCATCCTCATGAAAAAAAAACCTTTAGTTGATTGGGAGAAACTCTCTTAGGGTTCCTCTCTATTTGTCACCGCCCAATCTTTTTTCTCTGAAGCGACTCCTTTGAGGGAGAGAGATCTCTCCCCCTCCTTTTCTCCCTTTCTCTCTCTCCCTCTCTATCTCTCTATCTTTCTATCTTCAAGACTTGTTCGTTGATTTTGTGGACGACGCGGTCGACAACCTCCATGAAAGTGAGATCTAAAGATCGAAGCGCGAGTGCCTCGGAAGATCTGCTCGCTCGCTCCGATTCCAGGTGCTTGCTCCAGATAGTTTAGCGCTCCATAAGTGTCCAAGGCTCCTTTGTTACTGCCTTCAGCAATCGACTTATCTGATAATGATGTTGTGATCAACTAATATCTCTTTTCCAGCTCTTCTCTCTCAATTTAGAGTTAGACCTAGATTTAGATACTCTTCTATACCTATTTAGATATAGATATGGGATTTACAAGGCGTTTTTTGTGCTTTTTCAAACATTTGGTGTTGTTGTGGTCTCTCTACGATGATGGTGGATATCGAATCTAGACACGCACCGTCTTTTGGCAAAGAGTAGGGATTTTTTTGCGTGCACTCATCACTGATGATGATGTGAGATTTTGTTATCGGACACCGGTTGTGCTTTG